TTTTCAAAAGTTCTTCAAGGCAAGAGTGAATTTCTGTGGATTTTACTGGTCCCAGCTTTTAGGTTCTTTAAGACACTAACAGGACTGCATATAGAGGCTTTTCAGCATTACTGTGCCAGTATGTGCCCAGTCAGTGGCCAGATACCATTAGAAATGAAAATTACATTTGAAAGCCATTAGACTTCTAGTTGCTTTGAGCATCTTGAGAGAGAGGCTAATCGCACTAGAGAGATTACATTTTTTCCTTTTTCTAATTGTTTAAATCGAAATTTTATACCAGTGTCTCAAATTAATTGGGTGTTAGTTTGAGGTGGTGAAAGGTTGTTTGGGGAGTTTATTGTAATGGTTTTACTGTAAAAGGTGTTTCAAACTGTGCTGAGATGTTGCTGAAAAAGTATGGTGCTGGTAACAGTTCAACAATCCGTGGCTGCTCATTCTTGCCTACTTTTATTCTCCCTCTGAAGCAGGTTAGCATTGAAGGTGGTATGGAAAAGCCTGCATGCGTGTTCAATTCTTTATTTCTTCTTCCCTCTTCCTCCGCGTCCCCCTTACCCACCCCCACCCCCCCTTCGCTCGCTCAGCCTTTCTTTCAGTATGTGTAACTTGAAGCTAATTTGTACTACTGGATATCTGACTGGAGCCACAGATACAGAATCTGTATTGTTCTTACTGAAACACAGCATGGAATTAACATTAAACTTAAATAAAACAAACCTAAATTAAAAATGCCAAATATTATTGTGCCTCCATCCTTTTTACCTCTGAAATAAAACCTCTAGTCCAAACACATTGGCATTATTGTTTGCCTGAATGTGAAACGGTTCCCTTTCCCCCTACCCATAAATCATGTGTCTGTTTCTCAAAGCTGCTGTTTTATTTTGTAAACAGTTACCTGTAACCTGGTTGTGAAGAACACTGAAGTGTGGTAGTACAAGTCAGTTGATAATACCTTGTATGTCTTCTATACCAGGAAGCACCAGTGTTCTCATTTTTAAATGCAGCCAGCACATTTAATAGAAACACTGGGTCATTTTAAAGCATGAATTTTGGATTGTACAACTAAGTAAGGCTGAATGTGCAAACCATGCTTATGCTGAAGTAAACTTAAACGTTTCTCATTTTATGAAGGGCCAATGGCAGCAGAGATAAATAATTCACCCAGTAACCCTTGCATACACATTAAAATATAGAATATGGTCAGTCCTCTTCACAGCAACACTGTGAGTAGTTCCAGAGATAACTGTCAATGTGTAGAGCTGATTGGGGTCCTGTGAATTGTTCTATATTGGACATGTAGATGCTGCATTCTAATGACCCCCTATAACACTAATGTACCCGTGTGTGTGTGTGTGTTGGGGGGGGGGGGGGGTGTTGAGCCAGTTAATTACTTATGTGTATTTTCAGCCTTGCTTATTGTAAATGATGCTGTAATGAATATATTTGTAATATGGATTTAAGTAGTTTTCTATGTGTCTGTACATTATATTTTTAGATTTGTTGTCAGAAAGTATGCATTTTTAATCAGTTAATACTGTCTTCTAAAGATCATGTTCTACAACCACTTAATTTCTTAGAACAGCACTTTGTTAACACATTTTACCCATTTCTAAATGAGATGTTGACCCTCGAGCATCTATCCAGGGCTTAAGTCTTTGGTAGCAAAGACCTAAAGAATTAACAGATTGGTAATATCCCAGTGGGGGTGGGGGTGGATTATATGTATAATAGGAATTTGAAATTGCTTGTTCGTAATTATGATAAATCATTTTCTGTGAGTTGCTTTCCCAGCATATAGAGCACTGGAGACAAATATCTGTGAGTCATACTCTACATTTGACCATCTCTGATGAGCTTCACATTGATTTGTTGTATTTGCAGCATCAAGGTAGCTTGATTGCTACCACATCTCATTTCAAAGCAAAAAAGAATTCATACAGTTACATTAGCTTTACGAAGCCTGATCTGGGATTTATGGTTCTGTAGGCTGCTACTTCACCAAACCCTAATCATGCATGCATGTACTTCTATGTGTACCAGTAAGCATTCAAGCAATAACCCGTTTACAAAATGGGCTGACTGGCAGGAAATGGTCCCATTTTTCTGTCTTGTAATAGGTTCAAGTGCTGTCAAATTAGACCACATAGTTTGTGTGAAGAAATAAGAAACGGCAGACACCACTGTCAGTGTTCAAGATGCCCGAGTGGTGTCAAGCTGCTAATCGTGAATGCAAAAGAGGCTGCCATCCAAAGAGAGCTGGGAGAAGACTGAAGAGAGGAACCCTAACACGTCCTAGAAAGATCCCTCTAAGCTGGGAAGACCACATGAAGTCGTCAGTCCCGTGAGCACATTGTCACCACTGCCAGCTAGTCTTGTGTGCTGGGAAAGATGGGGTTTACTTTGTATATATCGCCTCTTCGTAGAAATCGTTGAAGATAGATTTCAAAGAAACTGGGTTACCATTACTACTTAAATGTAGTTCACTTGTGTTTCAATTACATTTAAAATTACATTAAAATTGCTTGAAAACTTAAAAAAAATTAGAACTTCCCTGAGCCTTCTGAAATAGGAGTAGAATAAATGGATTTACGGCTATGCTTGCAACCTGTGCTTGATGGCTGGCAAGATCTGTCAGTTTCTTTCAATCCTGGAGCCCGAGGAAAAAGCAGCATTCTATAAAGTTGAGGTGAAAGTGAATCTCATCGTGAACGTGGCAAGTTACATCCCTGGGGAGATAGAGCTTAGATTACTGAGGACACCTTTCTTTTGGAGCACCTGGAAGAGGAACTGGTGATAACCGGGATCCAAGTCTCACCAGCCCAACCCGTTTTCTCATTTCTTTGTTAGAATTGATAGCGATGGAGACTGCTGTGTAGCTAACACTGAGTATCAGCTATGTACTAGACACCACTAATTTGGCCGGAGCCTGGAATTTAGCCCACAGCTGATCAATCTTTAGGTGCTCGCGTTTTGTCATGAAACCGGTGTTAGGACTAAAGAGTATTCTCTTAACCCATCCACTGCTCCTTCCCCAATAGTATGTAGTTGTTATAAAAACACTCAACCTTTATGATGTAAGCATGAGCCTTCTCATTTGAAAAGCTGGTCATGGAAATAAGCTTGTGCATGGCAAATATGTTCAGTGACTACAGTCTGAAACATGCAGTCTTGCTCAGGTTGGGTTTTTTTTCCCCCCTCAATTTGGAAATCACTTAATTGGGGCAATTCTTGGAGTTATAGAAATATATCAGGTACACAGATAATAGTTTGTCTCTATAACTAACATTTCTAGATAGCCCAGGTCTTACAGTCAAATTCATTTTAGCCACTCTTAATAGAATATCTAAAATATATTACTTCGCTGCCTTTTAAGACACCCTGGCCTGTCCCATTCCTGTTGTGGGAATGCCCCTTAATCCCCTTGTTACCAGCCTACTCTGCAGGCGGACCTGCTGTGATGAGGGAAGGTTGCAACTTGTTTTAAATTGGTGTTTTGTTCTTTTGCTTCTCCTGTAGTTAATGCCAAAAGTTATACAATCTTGATTGTCTGAATTGTCCAGAAGTTTTCCCCCCCATGTCCAAAGCTGCCATTGACCAATCTGCCAATTCACATTTTGCAGTTGGAATTGTGAATGCTACAGGTTTGGGAGAGGGCAGGGCATGTTTCCGCACCAAAGGCCTTTGCCAGTAACCACGATTACATCTTAAAAAGTAAACTCCCTTAGAACTTGCTTCCAGCAATTTTAGGAAGGGCTAACTAACCATTAGAACAACTCATCCGCTAGGATACGTAAACTGAGAAAAACGGATTTGTCCTGTGAGAGAGTGGGGAGATTGGTGGGATCCTGCATTTGTATTGAACGGAGAGTACACACGCCACTGGCGCTTTCACCAAGTGAGCAGGACCAGTGTCCCTAAGATCGTACCTCTCGGTGTTGACCTCCCCCATCAGAAGACAGGGCTTGGTTTTCATCGTTTTGCCAATTTTTCCACATGATAAAATGCAGTCATTTTCTAGTTTTCCTCTATTGTGTTTGAGATTGCCATTTCTTGTAGCAGCGTGTTTGCATTACTAGATCGCTTGTGCACATTTGAATTGTTTCTGGGTGTTAATAAACCTTGTGGATGTTAGGATGCAGCAACGTACATATTCGTGTTGCGTATACCAATGAGTGGAATGACGAGACAACAGTGCGTATGTTGAGCATTAGCAGGCAGGTGCTGATGTGTTTGCCAAGACTGAGGTACTGATTTGCAGCTGGTGCAGCAGAATAGGAGCGCCCTAGGAGCTCCCCGGCCTCCCCCGCACCGGCACCGAGCACACATTTAGTGAAAGCCCTTCTGATGGGTCTGTACGTGTGTTTTTCTTTCTTTTTTTTTTTTTAACATTTTATTAGGGGCTCATACAACTGTTATCCCAATCCATACACACATCAATTGTGTAAAGCGCATTTGTACATCGTTTCTCAAAACATTTTCTCTCCATTTAAACCCCCGACATTAGGTCCTCATTTTTCCCCTGTACGTGTGTTTTTCTCCATTCAGTGTGCACTTTGCTGTGACTGAGGAGGTTTGCAGTAGAGGGATTTTAGGAATCAGGTTAGCTTTTGGCTGAAAGTACTTAACTTACTCCTATGCCCTGCAATTTTTGTCTCCTCACCTCACCCTTTTTTTCACAAGCAAAAGTTTTCACGAACATTTTAATGCCCTCTTCATGTTTTCCTTGAAGGTGTCTTTTTTTTTAAGTCATTTTATTAGGGGCTCATACAACTCTTACCACAATCCATACACACATCAATCGTGTAAAGTGCATTTGTACATTCATTGTTAAGTTCTATTTAAGATTTTTGTCCCCAAATAGTGAAGATTCTCCTATTAAAAAATTTTTTTTAATTAAAAGATCATTTTATTGGGGGCTCCCACAACTCCCATCACAATCCATAAACTGATGGCATCAGGCATATCTGTACATATGCTGCCATGATTCTCTAGACCAAGCCATTGGCATCGGCTCCTCTCCATCCCTCCCCACACCCACCCTTGTAGCCCCTTGATAGATTTTAAAGTAGTGTGTGTGTGTGAGAACTTGTTTGTTGCTAGACTCCAAGTCCATTTCAGTGTCGCTTTCCTCTTTAAGCCACTCAGACCACTGTTTTAGGTTTGAGGGCTAAGATTATCCTGTGTTTTTTTTTAGATCCTCCTATATTTAAGAAATAATGCTTTCTCTTTAATTTCTAGATCTGGGATCATTTAGAATTTCTTGTGCATGGTGTGACGTAGATGTTGATATTTTTCACATGGATATACAGTTGACAGCATTGCTCTGTTGATATGCTGTAGCACCCATGCTCCACTGCCTTATTTACTGTAAAATAATTCAGTATCTGGTAGTGTGGGTCTTCAGCCTTTTGGTTAAGGACTGTCTTGGCTCTTGGCTCTGCATTTCTGCATATATCTTAGAATTGACTTGCTACTTCAGTAACAGAACAATGATGACAAACCACTGAGGTTTTGATTAGGATTATTTGACTAAGTGAAAATTTTACACATGCATTGTTGGCTTGTCTATACTCACAAACACGTGCAAAGTATGTCTATTTGAGCACTCCCACAGCAAATTAGAAGTAACCCAAATGCCCATTCATTATGTGGCTACCACAGGACCCCTGGTGGTTGGTGGTTAGGTGTTGGGCCTGGACCCACGTGGTCGGCAGGTGGGAACACCAGCAGCTCTGA